GGGAGTGGAGTCCCGGGGGGCAGTTAGGGGCAGGGGTCCCAGGAGGGGGCAGTCAGGGGACAAGGAACGGGGGGAGGGTTGGGGGTTCTGGGGGGGCGGGAAGTGGGAGGGGCAGGGGCGGGGCTAGGGCGGGGCTCCTCCCGTCCTCTTTTTTGCTTGTTGAAATATGGTAACCCTAGTTAAAAGTGGGCCAGGTGTGTCCAGCTGGATCCGGTGTGGGGATTACGCTAGATCTCTCTTCCGCTGGCAGGTCAGATACGATGAAAGAGCCCCTGGGGATTGTGCTCTCAATAAGAGGGCAGTTTTAATCCAAGCAGCCCTGGCCTTCTGGCAGCTGCGTGTCCCTATACACAGCAAACAGGGAGCCACAAACAGCTCCGGCTGTGCTTGCCCTGCCAGCCTCTCTGCTGCCCCTGCTTGACGGCCCAGCCCAGGGCGACCAGACACAACTGTGAAAAAACGGGACTGGGGGTGGGGGGTAATAGGCGCCTAGATAAGAAAAAATCCCCAAAAATGGGACTGTCCCTTTAACAACGGGACATCTGGTCACCCTAGGCCAGCCACAGGGCACAGCAGAGGCTATGCAGGGGGAGGAATGGCTAGTCAGAGTGGATGGGGTTTCTGAGGCTGAAACTCAGAGGCAGGACCTGGCTGTGGAAGCTGGACATGGGGCAGAGCAGCCACCCTTTGGTGGATGAAATAACACAGCCTTGGGGTGTAACTACAACCGCTCGCCTCGCACCAAGCTCGGAGCACCTGGTGCGGACGGGGGTGGGGATGTTACAGGTGAAATGGACACGTCACTTTGTTCTGTTCCAACAGGGCAGTGCAAGACCCGTGACCGAGACGGCACGGGGATCGTCACCATGGCCCATAAGGAGGTGAGCAACAGGGTTCATTCTCTCCGTAGAGCTCTGAGCTGAGTCGTAACTTTGGACACGGCTATAACTTATAGCTGCCCTCCACCACGGCGGGCTGTGGTTTCCACCGCAGCGGGTCGGACTCTGCTGCTCTCAGTTACGCTGTGAGCAGGGAGCGACCCCGCCGCAGGCAGTGGAGTTACACTGGGACAAAGCACTGGCCACCCACTGACCTGGTTAACTCTTTGCTTTTCAGTGGCTGGAACTCATCACCGCCACTTAATGGGAGGAAGCCGCATCGTCCCCAGAGTGTAGCCTAAAGAACTATCCTGCTTGCTTGCATATCTATCTATCTATCTTTTCTTATAGTTTAAGTATTTAGTTTATTGTAATAGGTTTATAGATTTATATTAAAGTAAGTTTGGCTGTAATGCAAGAGACCTACAGGCCATATCCTGTATGTTAAGCTAAAGCAAAGTGAGCCTATCTATATTAAGAACTTTTACTCAGAAAGCAAAGTTGACCTATAGCTTGTTATCTAAATAGCTGAGTACCCACGCCTATGTCCATGACCTTTTATTTAGACCAATAGAAATGGAGAATGGCATAGGGGGGGTTTCAGTGTGGTACCCACAGACTTAACAAGTACACCACAAGAGACTGATGTGCGTACGTACCTGTCATCAATACGCACATACATACTAGCCTATGGGGTACGTGTACCCTAACATTTCTGTGGGTGAGGAATGAAATTTGGGCATAAGAGGAAGGATTTCCGGCATTTGCCCTATAAAAGAGGTAACCCACCTCAGTAGAGTACTCCAGTTCTTACTTTACTCCATCTCTATTCTCATGTACTTCCTCCACTTTAAGTTTCAAAGGAACTAGGCTAAGGTCGGTTTCCCTAAGTTTTATTCTTAGTTTGTTTATTAGGTTTTGATTTAAGTTTAAGTTAGTCAAGTAAACCCTAGTCAGCTTTGATAGCGCTTAGCATTTTCTAAGCACTGCCTCCCTCACTTGAGAAACCTGAACCGCAAGGCTGGTCCTGTGTCTCTTACCACCAGGTTAGCAAGGAAGGGTGTGAGTATATTAACCAAAGCTTTGTTGCATATCCTACTATATTATCAGATGTATCTTTTGAATAGCAGTAACGCAATTGTAACTTTGTAACTCTGGGTATTTTACCGCTTACTTACTATTATTGATTTTAATAAAAAAAGTCTTTCAGGCTATATCTGTCTCTGTGTGAGCTTCCTGTCATACCCCCGAGGGTCCTTTGTCAATTCTGTGGAGCCTGATTCAGGACAAGAACTTTTATCTTCTGATCAAACAGACTGGCGAGCCTAAACCCCACACTAATTCATATGGATGATAATAATTATTGATAGTATTAATTACATTAATGAATTAAATTCCCATATTATCCAAATGAATATTATCAGAACACCCTAAATCAGGCTACAGGAGCGAGGCCTGACGCACAGAGCACACACCAGTCCAGCCCTACTGCACGGAATCAGAGCGAAGAGCAGGGAACGGCGCCGGAGGAGCTCCCCTGGATGTCTAGTCAGCACCGATTATTCGTGAAAATAGCTTGTTTTGAGCATTGCACTGCTCTAGTTTGCACTCACACTTGCTGTACTAAGAATCATAGTAATCATGAGCTTTTATCACAGCGGCTCTCCGCTTTGCGCTGGTCCTGTGGCAGACCATGTCCTGCGACAAGTTCACATTGTGATCCCGGGGTTGAGATTACAATGGACACACTACCAGCCCCTGTCTTGACAAATCTTTGAATCTAGTCGTGGGCTCCGGTGTCACTTAGTTGCTTTTGAAAAGTGGATTCCTGGGGCAAAGCTGAACTTTAGTTTGAAAGTTTGGGCTGCAGAGAACAATCCAGCCCTGTGGGCGCTTGGACAAAATTAAAATCGAATGGGGTTCCTTCCTGCCTCAATGACATGGGGTAAACGATCGCTCTCAGAGACAAGACACTGTCAGTGCCTGGATTCAGCAGGGCAGAAGTTTATTATTGGATCCAGGTGAGTTACTGATGGCTGTCCATGGTGTTTTTCCATGGTCCCTGTTCTCGACCAGGGGCCCAGGGGCCCCTGGAGGGCTGCGAGCAGGTTTCAGTGGGTCCGTCAAAATAAAGCAGAGAGCAGAGCTGGCATTACAGGCCCGGGGCTGAAACCTGAGCAACTTAATTTTGCAGGGCCTCCTGGGCAGAGTGACCAGATAGCAAGTGTGAAAAACCGGGACAGGAGGTGGGGAGGTCATAGCCACCTGGATAAGAAAAAGCCCCAAATATCAGGACTGTCCCTATAAAATCAGGACATCTGGTCACCCTACTCCTGGGGCATGGAGCCCCAAGCAGTTCCCTTGCTTGCTACCCCCTAGTGCCTGCCCTGGATTTAATCCACTGGATTTTATTACTCCTGGGGGAATTCTGGGAATTTTGATTTTTCCTGTATGAAATACATTCTGCCCAAGAAGTGCTGCAGTTCCGCCTTTTGCCCACCAGAGGCCGCTGTGGTGCTAGCATGAACGCAGCCAGCTGTTCTGGCCCCACAGCGGCCTCTGGTGGGCAGGAGGCGGAACCACTGAAGAAGTGGGGGTTTTCCCCACAAAAGCTTATGCCCCCCAAAATCTGTTCGTCTTTAAGGTGCCACCGGACTCCTTGTTGTTTTTCTTGGCCAGAATGTATTTCATGTGGGGGTGGGGGGAATTCTGTGCGTTCCTGGTGCTGCAGAATTCCCCCAGGAGCAGCACCTTCCCGCAGAGCCAGGCTGGGACAGAGTGGGGCACCCAGGGCTGCTGGGGGTCACAGACTGGGGCTCAGAATGGCTAGTGGGGGGACAGACTGCGGCATGGACTCAGGAGCTAGTGAGGTGACAGCGTTGAGCCTGGGGATGGGGGCGGGGGGCTGCAGGGACACATGGGGATGGGGGGTGCGGGGACAGGGGCCGACGTGTCTGACTGAATGGCAGAGGCTTGGGGTCAGCCAGGGTCTGCATGGGGGAGGCTTCCCAGCACCCTAACCCCCCCACCCCAAAAAACCACCTTCTCCCACCCACACCAACACCCTCCAGGTTCACTCCCAGGCTCCTTCCCTCCCCCTCAGCTCCTCCGTTACCCCGACTCCCCCGAGCCTTTGCGCTGCTTCTGACAGGTGCAGGAAATGACTTATTCAACGTTCTGTTTTAATATGCCTCGTAAGGAATCCAGCTGTCAAAGAATATTACCAGAATCTTATTTTCCTGCTCGGTATAGTTACAGACACGCTGGCTGACAGCTACTTTGAAATAAATTACCAAACTAATTGCAACTGGCATGATCATATTGTGTTATTCTGACAAATAAAATATGCACAATTTTCAAATTATTGTGTGCAGAGTTTTTAATTGTTTGGCACAGAATTCCCCCAGGAGTAATCGAATCTGGAGAAAACCAGTTGTGGCACAGGCTGGCTATGGAGTTTTTATAGCATGTCGGGAGGGGGGGGGGCTTAGAAAGGAAAAGGTTGAGAAGCCCTGTGCTAGACAAAGCACGTTGTGTGGTTCTGGAAGGCGACATGACAGCGGGTTTGCAGGTAACGCCCCTGCACCTCCAAGCGATCACCTTAGTCACTGATACGCCCAGCGATGCTCACGCTGAGGCTGCTAGAGACCGTGAGTTCAATCCCAGCTCTGCTCAAAGCTTCCCGGATGGCCTCGGGCAAGCCACGTAGGGCCAAACCTTCACAAGAGCCCGACTCAGCACCCAGAAGTGAGGCCGGACTTCCAAGCTCCCTTGGCAACCCTGCCACATTCGGCAGCGGCTTTGGCACCAAATCTCTGCCTGACTTAGAGGCCTATGCGGGAGCGGGGCTGTGTGGGGAATCTGGCCTCCAACAGGGTGCTGAGCCCGGGAAGACAGGGCCGCTGTTTACCCCGGGAAGGTTTTCCGATGGCGCCTAGTGAAAGTCACTGAGCAGCTGTCTCCTGTGTGTGCTGTTGATAATCTCCCCGCTCCGTACAGCGTGAAGCACAATCGCTCCTTCTCCCGCGGGCGGTGAGAATCAACCCACGCACGGGGCTCAGGGACTGCGGGGATCAGGCCCTTGCCACGGTGGCTTCCTGCACATTGTCCAACTCAGCGACCTCGGGGTTCGCCGCCGCCTTGAGGGCGGGTCCGTGGGGGCGGTGCCGGGACCAAAGGCTGCGCCGTCTAATACACGCGGGAGGCTCCCCAACTGGGCACCGCTGTGAGGCGGTTCCAGTAACTACCGCCGCCTTCCCAGCTGATGGCCTCCAGCTTCACGTCGCCGTTCACCTCCAGGAAGCGCACGTGCTCCGGCGGGAGGCGGTGCTGGAACGCGTAGTGATGACGCTCGTTCACTGTCACCTGGAAGGGAACGGGCAGCGTCAGACGAGTGGGCAGAGGCCCCAGCCCACTGGACTGGGACGTCCTTCCAGGGCAGCAGGGGCTAGGCCGCGGCCTACATCTGGGGCTCGTTGGACGTTTGCAAACTGGGGCCAGTTCCCCAGAAGGTCCAGCAATGAGAGGGGCGTGGCTCACGTCCCATTGAGCCCACGCTCCCCCCGGCTGCAATGCCGGCAGGGAAGGTTCGGTCCAATGAGCCGGGAGCTTTGCCTAAAATAAGGGGACAGTTCACTGCACAACGCCCCACATGGACGAACCCGGGGTTGTGACGTTGCAGCTTTCTCTGATCCAGCTGGACGCAGTCCGGACCCTCCCGATGGCTGAGGTAGGGCGTCCCCCAGTGCCCTGATGGAGAAGGGGCATCCCCTCCCCAAGCCCTACCTACCTCGTATGCCTTGGCGGTGGTGGTGAACGTCAGCGTGAAACTCTTCCCTTTGCGGAGGGGGCTGTTTTCCTTCCGCTCCTCCTGGCCCCACTTTCTCTCCACCAAGCTGTTGAAGACGATGTGGGGGGCGCCCTCAAAGCGGGGGTTGAAGAGCAAGGCCACGTTGGCCCCTTCGTACTGACCGTAGAGGAACGTTACCCGGAAGCTGGAGTGGAGACGGCACTGGCTGAGCCTGGAGCCAGCTTCAGGGACCGCGCTCCCGGCCCAGTGTCCGGCATTAGGGATCCTCTCGCCTGCTTGTAGGGCCCCGTGACCTGTGCAGCTGTGACCAACCCTGGCCCTGGCGCACCTTGGTTTTGCAAAGGGCCCGGTGGCTGGAGACTGAGCTGGGGACGAGCACCAGGAAGGGAAACCCAAGGCCCCTCTCCTTCCAGCCAGGTTGCTCCCATCTGCAACTGGCCCGAGTGTGGGGAGAGGTGCTGTCTCTGGGGCGTGCACAGTGGGGCAGGGGGGTGCACAGATAGCTCACACTGCAGCGGAGGGCTGAGGGCGTCTCGCTGCCTTGGGGGGGCGTCCCCTCGCCCTACCTGGGAACAAAGGGGAAGCCCCGTGTAAGGACATGCTGGTCGCTCACCCTGCGCTCGTCTCCGGCACCGAGCCCGTCATCTTCACCCACGTGTGTGGACGGAGTCCTCCCGGGATGGCAGTGCTGTACGGGACGGTCTGAGAGACAGAAACTGCTGGGTGAGTGCCACGCCCGGGCCGGGAGGGACCAGGCCCCAGGGGAGAGAGCTGGGGATGTGCAGCCATCCCTCTTTGTGTCCCTTCCTTCTATCTCTCTTTGGACCGGCCCATCTCCCGGGGCAGAGGGGTCCTGTCCCCCCATCACAGCCGTTCTCATCCAGCCACCTGCACACTGCACACCCTCACCTAGGGATAGTCCCCGGGGAGAGACCCCCCAGCCTCGCCCCCTCCGGGCGCTGCCCAGCACCAGTTCCGGGAACTCGCTTTCAGCAGGAGCAACCCCTTGGGTTACACTGAAGGAGCCTGCGTTTGGGGCCGTCAGATCATTTTCTAGGGGAGCTTCTGTGGGTGTGGGTGTGAGGAGATGGTTCTGGTGGGGGGGGAGAGTTGGTGGGGGGGGGCTGGTGTGTGTGTGT